CTATTGTTAAACCTGCCTTGAATTCTGAGAAAATGATGTCGCACAAAAACTGTTTTATATTTCATTTCTAAAACTATGCACGGTATCTTCTTCATGCTCTGTTAACTGTCATGAACCAGTTATTATACTTCCAAAATACATTAAGCCCCTAAGCTAACCCATGTAACTATCAGTCTTCTGATAATGCCTGCAAGTAACACCACACTGCATTTGTAGTGCTTCCTGGTCAGGATTCTACATTTCTACACTGCTTCAAGTTTTTTTAAGCCCCAGATATGGAAGCAGAGATACACAGGACTATAAGAAAAAAATTAAAATATTCAGACCCTCCATGATAATACAAAGTGAGGGCAGTAGGTGCATTTGGACTATGCAGGAGACAGTAATTGCAAAATAGATAAATGGCACCCTCAACTGTGGAACTGAATGTATCAAGGTCTTAATTGTACCTGTGAACTTTATTACTTGTAGAACAGACACAGAGCACCTCATTTTCCCAAGAAGCATCACCTCCAGTGGCAGAGGAGAACCAGGGAACCAGTGTCTGGGTTGATAATTTTCTTGCTAACCAACAGCTATATAGTGTAGCTGATCCTCTTGTAGTCAGTTAAGATATACTGAAGTACTGTCCCACCATTTTTATATGCTCTTGCCTTTTTTGCTTCCTATCCCTTTCTTAGCTACGGCCAAACAGCTAATAATGGTACAGATCCAAAATCCCCAAAGTCTGTCTTTGTTTTCAGTGTCTTTTCATTGGGCTACTCCATGGTCAGAAATGTTCACAACAAAGATGTAAGGACTTCCATGCATTAACTAGATCTTTAGTGGTGCAATCAGTATATCTGCCAGAAGAAGGGCAATTCCAACGGCAAATTTGTGAGTATGGCAAGATAATTAGTTAATTCAGGAGTTTTTTCAGACCATCAAAATATATCCGCACTGCTGTAAACAAATTAAGAATATCCATGTTTAGTTATTAACAATGTGTTCTAGCACAGAATTGCAAATTGTTATTACTCCTTTCTTCCCCATCGAAATAACTAAGCAAAGTTTGGTTATTGTCTATTCGTAAGTAGTTTAAACAATATTATTATTATTATTACAGTATTCACAGGAAGGTAAAAGTGCCATTCACAGTGTCCAGGGAAAACAAACAGGCTCAGCAGTTCCTAGCATGTTTCCACTGGCAGTGCAAGTAGGATCACAAGAAAATTCAGATCTCAAGACCAAATTCCTCTTGATAGTGTGTCAAGTTGAAAAGGAAATATTATGAACCTATGAGGAGTTCACCATCCATAAGAATTATTTCACCTGACAGTCATTCATAAGTTTCCTAGCAGCTAAATATTCTGCAGACAGAGTTAAATAGACAGAGGTTTCAAACGCATTCGGATTCTGCCTGTGCAGCCTGAGAAAGGAATTTTCCACTCTGTACTGCTGAGAAGAATGAAGATGCTGTAGGCTGTGGTATCATATTCAGAGGAACAAGGTGGGTAGGATAGGGCATTAGGCACTATTATGCTCCAGGGAAGAAAGAGCAGACAGGGGCACAATAGAAGTGCTTCATTATATTTTAAATGGGAACAGTTCCAAGGATGGGAAAGCCTGTGGTGCTTGTAAAGGATTAAGCAGGGTAATGTGCTTTTTAAGAAGACATAAAGAGGTATGTAATGCGATATGTTTAAGCCTAAATGATTTTTCTTGGAGTCCTCAATGAATGTTTAAGCAGGCATGACTTAGGCCTCTGCAAATCCTCTCTGAATAAATAACTTCCACAAAAATAGAGATTCCTTTGACAGAATGGGATGCATATTTCATAACCTATGCAAAAAAGGAAAATCTATTTAAGACACATGAAATAGTTTGGAGTAATAAAGAAAAAGAGAAGATAAAAGCAAATATTCTCCAGAATAATCCGACCTTATATAAAAATACAGCTACCTCCCCATCCATTTTGATTTGACAGAGCAGGAAGACAAAAAACTGAATGCTTCCCTACCTCAAATTCAGACCTCAAGTGCTTTTTGCTACGTTTTGAGAAAGGAAGAGACAATAAATGGAAGAAAATTTCTAAATTGCCTGTGATTTTCAGGTTGTCTCCTGTTTGAGATATTTAAAACTACTCTCTCTTCAGGGTAAACCTACCCAGCTGGTCTCTAACTGGACCTGATGGTATATATAGCTGTTTGCTATGGATGGAACAGGAGCATACACAGGGATGCATATGCATCTAATTTATAAGAAGAACAGGACCAATAAATATCAAAACCTGAAAAGCTGCAATGGCATGATCATCCCATCTTATTTCTCTTGCCTGCCCTGCCCTCCTGCCAGGAGAAGCAGGTCAAAGCAGCAGATTGCCTGATGTAAAGTGGGACTACACAATCACTGTCATTTGGCTGTATTGTATTCTGACTCACACAGGTGCCATGAAGTCCCTGGCACAGCAAGCATGCAGTCCTGCTGAGCCAGAGGGATGATGCTGTTCCCCCTGTTTATATATGCATTAAACTACTTTCCTCACAATAAAATAATTCCAGCTGCCTGGGATTGTCAGAATAAAAGCAAGACAAAACTAAAGAACTTTCAGGATTTAACAAAAATGTTTGGGCAAGCCTCTTCTGTGAAGGCTACTTGCAAACCCCATGTAACCTCTGAGGTTAACTCTGAGCAGGGAGTGTTGTTAAAGATGAGCATGTTCACTGCATTCATATCATCCTTCCTGCACACCTCCCTCCCACGGTGCTCCCTCCTATAACAACCCGTTTTGAAGCACCTATTGAGTCTCAGCTCTCTCACTTGGCACTCCAGGAACATGTGCCAAGGTATTGGCCTTGCACAGCTTGGACAAACTGCTGTTTAGTCATGCTTTAGTGGTGATGAATGGTAGAAACAAAATGAAGCACAGAGGACGACCTGTTGGTTTAGCTTGTTCAGGGTTATAATCAGGTTAACAGCTCTGATGTGGCCAGTTAAATTCATTCCAGACACTGAAGAACATTATGAAGCATATAAATAGGCCAAGGGGACCCATGAATTCTTTCCTCTGAAATGTTTTCATTTCTGAAGTGTGTTATGTAGATTATAGTATCTGTTTCTTATCAGCTACCTTTTAAAATATTAATTTTCCATGCTTAAGATTAGCTTTTAACATCACTTTCTTCAAACACCATTCTTCCTGAGCAGCCAAATACAATCTTCTAAAAGCTTCTATGTGAACAGCAGCTGGCAAATAATCTTTTTATGTGTCATTTCTTCCTGTAAGTTGAAGGAAGGGGAGAAATCGTGCACACATAGTTAAATGTGTATGTTCATTAGAATCAGGCCTAAGACCTCTGATTCTTCCAAACTGGAGGGTGGTTGGCTTGCTCACATGGTACAACTTAGCTTTTCAACATCATTTGCAAGTGCTGGGAAGCAGAGGCATGGGAAATTAAAGAACTTAGGTATTTCTGGTTTCATAGGATTTAGGACATGTTTTCCTGTCATGTTTTCAGGAACAAGAATGCAAAGACTGTAATCTAGAATTACCTGCCAGCATGATGCACCATTTGTTTATGGGGTTTTTTCAGCTAAAAGCCATTAGTCAGCACAGCTGTGTTTAATGTACTCCATTTTTTGATTCTTCTGAAACAGTTTGTATAACTTGGGAAGGCAAACCAGGAGGGAAGCTGTTTTTTTTTTTTTAAATCATACAAAAGGCAAACCCCAGCTTTATCAGCCCCTTACAAACTGACCTAAACTATGTTTTCTCAAAAAAAAAGCAATTTCCTCTAGCTAATAAATCTTTAGACCTTTTTATATTGCTCATTCAGTTTAAGACTTTATCTAAAGGGGTTTCAAAAGTGCAGTTTTCCAGGGTCTCTCTTGCCTCTTCTTTTATGCTGTTTAGTCCTTCAGAGGAGAAAATATGATCTTGGTTATCCAGAGGTTGGATTGGTGATTTTTAAAACTCCAAAGAATCTTTGATATTTTGTAGTTCTTTTCTTATCAAGAGATCACCATTCATCATGTAAAGCAGAATCATCATAATCAAAGAAGAGTTCAACATTCTTTTTAACATAGCATTTTCTCTTGTTTGTATCCACTGTGAAAACACCAGAAATTACAGGTTTTCCTGGTAAAGGGATTGTGGTGGAGACAAAAGGCAGTTTGTCTGGAGTTTTAGAAGTCTCTAAATCAAGCTTAGAACAAGGAAACACACAATTTGTGGATATTCTGTCTAATCAATCTTCACATTTTGAAGTTTAAAATAGTCAATAAAACATTGTATTTCTTTGATTTGATTTGAAACTCTGAGTATGAGTTACAATGGTAGGGGAAAAGTTTGTATACAGTCACTCAACACATTTTCACTCTCATACTGAGCCCATTCATAGACCAATGTTTCTATAAAAGCTGTAGCTGTCAGCCAGAAATTGAGAGGGAATGACTGCATTCACAAATATGCCTACAAAAATTGACTCTTGCTCTCAAAGTACCTTCCCACTGCTTAACCTGCTACAGAAAGTGGCTGTGACACTCTTTAAAGCCAGACCATCTTTTGTTTGCCTGCCTCCCCCAAAATAAACATGACTCAGTGCGTCAGTTGAAAGCCAAGATTTTCAGTGTCAGGAGTCTACAGAAATAAGATAATCAATGTCTTGTATTTAAAGTCCTTTAATCTCTGTGCAGTACATTGCCATGTCTTCTGGGATTCTAAGTCCAGCGATCCTATTCCCATTTTGCAGTCTGACAAATGCACTCATCTCCTATAAATGCACCTATAAATCCTTTTTGGAGCAAACAGTCTAGATACTTACATTTTAAACTGCTGTTGTAAACAAGCTAGATCGCTGAGAAGTCTCAATCCTCTGTGCTGATGCAATGGGCTTGCAGAAATTAGTACCAGGCATCATCATTATCTGAACGCAAATGTATGCCTTATAAGCAACAACTAAGCAAATGTGGTATCATACAGAGCATCTCCAATGGGAAGCAAAAAGTAAGCAGAGAGGTACCTTTTGAATGCCTGCAGTCGACTCCAGGACGTTGTTCTCTGAGCCATTACTTCTGTTAATCATCCGCCACATTTGGGAGTACATGCTGTCCCTCTCAAAGGGATTCATCCCTTTCACTCGGACGTGCTCATAGACTGCAGAGTCCAAGACAGTGCCATAAGGAATGTCCGTCTGCCTCGAGAGATCCTGGAGAGACCTTAATTATTAAGGAAGAAAAGAGACACGGGAGACTTGAAGACACATTTTCAAGAGGAAGGAGCTGCAGGCAAGTAAAGGGCAACGCACACGAAGACAGCTGTCAAGACACCTTTTGCTTTTATTTTCTTTTTCTTTTTTTTTTCTTAAGATAAAATGGGATTGAAATTTGATTTTATTATCTAAGACATAAAGAGGAGTATGAAGTGAAAGGAAGGGGTGGAAAAAGTGAAAATGTATGAAAAGAGCAGAAAGAAGAAGAGAATCCAGTCTAATGCTGAGCTCCTTTGAGCAGGAGCAAAAGAGAGAAGGGAGTATTGCAGTCCTTCCAAACACATGCAGCAAGCTCAACAGAAGCTAGGTAACTGCCTACGAGAGTACAGTGCCATCACACACCCTGCTGCTGTGGAGCTGAGTGCTAGCACCAGAACTCTCCAAAGCTAGCCCAAACTGGCACCTGGGTTGAGTACCACTAAGTGCTGCTAGGTTACAGTGAAGGGCACTGGACTGTGCATCCACCACAGGTCACATCCTACATTATTTTCAGCAATAAGCACATTTCTGTTGTAGTTTCTTGAACTGCTTTCACACCACAGTTCATGTAATTTAGTCCATTATTTTCTTTTTCTTTTACATGTTGTTCTACTTTACATGTTGTCTAGTTTTATCCATTCTCTATAAGCAAGAAAAATTAACTAGTTTAGAATTTTCTAAAACCTCCCAAATATGGTTTTGTCAACCCTGCTTTGGACTTAAAAATATATGTATTAGAACTCTTTAAAGTCTCCTTACCTCTTGGACTTTATTTTCCCGTCCTATACAATTGCTCTCGTGTACCTTTTATTCTTTAATGGCACTCATTAAAGTTTCAAAATAACAACTGCAATATGTCTACTGTTCAAAACCCATTACAGCTTTGCTGGCACAAAATAACTGTGTATAAACTGCACAGATCTAGTGGATGACACATAAGGAGAAATCAAGGGGTTGAATGCTGTCTTAAAGAAGGCAATAGCAAATTGTAAAAGCTCATTGCAGATAAAGAAAATGCAAACACAAATGCAGGAAACTCATTGATTTCCAAGATGTGCTTCTGAAGCATGTAAATACAGAGGCTAGTGAAAATGGCCCTACAAGGGGGCATAAAAAGGAATTCTTAGGTATTCTGGGATGGCACTAAAGAAAACAGTAATAGAATCTCAAAGGGTATGTATGCCTCTGAACAAAACAGAAAGAAGGAAAAGAAGAAATCAATAGAGCTCAATGGCAAGGGTTTAGAGGTTAGTTAAGTAAAAAAGAAATCCTTTGAAATTCAGACATATGGGCTTAGAAAAACATTGAACAAGAGCTAAATTCCAATCAGATAACATATAGCAATTGCAAGGAAAGGATACATTAAATTTTCAATAATAATTAACTAATGATATTAAACCCCCCCAAATCCTCTCATCTTCCTCTGCTTCAGTGGGGAAAGTGTTGTATCAGTACACATATGCAATAATCAAAGGTGAGATGATAGATGTAACATTTCCTGAAACTAAGTGTATTGGTCTTCAACTGGACGTGGCACTGTTCACCACCACTCTGGGCCATCCAGCCAGTTCTTCACCCAGCAGAGAGTGCCCCTGTCCCAGCCATGGGCTGCAGCTTTTCCAGGAGTGTGCTATGGGAGATGGTGTCAAAGGCTTTGCTGATGATTCATGGAATTACAGCTAGTCAGCCAACATCATGGAGTGAGTCCTCTCAGAGCACATTTCTGAGCACATGAAGGAGAAGGAGCTGACTGGCAGCAGTCAACATTGATTTACCACAAGTCTAATGACCTGGTGAGATTTTCACCCTATTTCACCATTAGGCATAAGTGTTGTGCAGAAGAAGGCATATTACTGTTGTGCTGACAGTTCATCTATCTGTCAAAAGCATCACTGATCAAAGGCACTAGGCAAGTAAAATATACTATAAACATCCATTCTGTGTTACTGCTGCTATTGGCAATACACTCCTCTAACAACTGGCAGTGCTCAGAAATGCAATGAACTGTCACAGGATGAATATTTTAATGTCTTGTAGTTGTTGTGTTATTTGTCATACTAGAAAAGTATACAAAAAGTATATATTGAGTCTCCAGTTTCTAGTGACAACATCCAGCAAAATTGCAATA